CTCCACGCAGGCAAAATTTCTCCCAATACTTGAACCAGGAGTTCCTTTGTCTTCTAGATTGGGTTCAAAATTACTGGGCTACTGAGTTGCATATTAGTAGTCGTTAACCCTAAAAATTGAGTCTGCTGTTGAACGACAGTTATAAAATAAAATAAAATGAATGGCATTTATTGCTAAAACCATTTGCAAATCATGCATTAATGCAACCTTATATGCATTAAGTCGACTGACAAGGTAAGCACGTACAGCACGCTTATTGTAAAATAATAAAATAATCTGCTGCTGTTTACATATTTGAACTGCTACCTTTCTTTTTAATATTTAAGAACGCCACCTGCTGGCAAAAATTTGAACTATCATTTTCGATGGAGGTCTTGGTCCTGTGTCTTGGCATTTTTTCTTGGCATTGTAATCAGTCTCGAGACATTTATTTCAAAAACATTGCAAACTAGAAATGTAAGAGTATTTGCTTCTATAGGTCTTTCTTTGCTTAGCAATCTTTCTCAGTTCTTTTGATAACATTGATATAAAATACTATGTGTCCTTACTAAGAACTGATCTAAACTGATACTATCTATCATCTCTATCTAGAACTGATCTATCTAGAACTGATCTACCTACTACTGATCTAAAACTATAATAACTACTCTCCTCCCCCATACTTCTGCATATCCTTACTGTATTGTTTACGGTATTCCTTACTACGGTATTCCTACGGTATACGGTATTCTCTGCATATCCTTACTGTATTTCCAAACGAAATATTTTTAACCAGGAAAGGTCATATGTTTTAAAGTTCATTTGAATCCGTAACCAAAGCAACACGTCTCTGCGAACCAGCCTGGTTGATAGGGTGTTGGACTGCCTGAAATATGTTCCGTGTTCACAGCTGAAGCCGTTGCCATTTTATTGGCATTGCGACTTATTTCAGCAGGTTCGACGCTGCAATACTGCATTTGCTCGGACAATATGTGCGTTTTGCGCCAACTGGAAGATTTTGGTAGTGAAATTTATCACATTCTGTGCTTTATACAGCATTTATTATTTAATCTCTATCAGAATGGTTTCGATACTTTTTTCTGCTGGTTTCCAAGCCGTGTAGGAATCCTGGGTAATGATTTAGTCGACGCAGCTGCGCGATCTGGTACTACCCCCTTGACTCTGTCTGTACCCTTCTCAGACACGAAATCCCATATTCGACATTTTATAAGATCATTATGGCAACAGCAAAGGGACTCCCAGATCAACAATAAATTGCACTCTGTCAAATTTGATTTGAGCTCTTTACCTGTGGCACGTCTCTGCAGTGCAGATGTTAAACTTACCCGGCTCCGAATTGGCCATACCCATCTTCATTTGTTATTCGGGGAACCTCCTCCTTAATGCAACACTTGTAATGTTTCACTTTCGATTCACACTATTTTACTTACCTCTTTTGGTAGTTCTATTTTATCTATGTGAAATTTTTTAGGTGACTCTCATCATCGTAACATTTTTGTATTTTTACGTGCTATTGGCATTTTAAATTGTTTATAAGTTTTATTCTATTCATGATTTTATTTACTTTTAGAAGTATATTTTTACTTTTAAACTATTTTACACGCCTTACAAAATTTTAATGTGTTTTCACTTTGACCTGATTTTATTCCTGACCTTTTTTAAAGTATTTTATGAAAAATAAGTAAGTATGCACGTTATTTTGGACATGTGTAAACATATTGTTTGGCGCAGCATGTCCTCATTTGGATCTTGTGCCATTAAACTCTACATTCAATCAATCGAAAAATCTTGACTTCGGTGATCTACTGGAAACCACGTCTTTATGATCAGTTCACTGCCAGATTTTTGTTTCTAAAACTGAGAAATTCGCTAACGAAGCAAAATCCAAAAATATTGAAAACGATATAGTTGAAGAACATTCTAATTGAGAATTTTAGTTCTAGAAACTTTTTAAGTCAGGTTTAGAAATGTATTGTGGCATTCAGAATAAAAATATCGAAAAATTTCAAATGGCTACGTAATTCAGAAGATTTATTTCAATAATTTATTAGATTAGTCTCGGAAATTGATAGCCACACTTCATTATATCTATAT